ATATATATATATATATATATATATATATATATATATATATATATATATATATATATATATATATTATATATATATATATATATATATATATATATATATTATATATATATATATATATATATATATATATATGTGTAAGATATATATCTGCTGATATACATAATTATGGTTGTAATTGCCAGAAACATTGTGTGTAATATATATATATATATATATATATATATATATATCTTACACACAATGTTTCTAATAATATATTTCTCGAAATTAGCCTGATATCAAAACTATATGTAAATAGTTTCTCTCTTGCTTACTCTAAAAGCATTTAAGTTAAAATATTTGAATTTTCAAAAGTTTCGATTTAATTTTGTCCCACTTAAAATGTGTAAGGTTATCGCGTAACTTTATATATAATTAACTTATAACTTAATAACATTAATAACATGTATTTGTTTAACATCAAGTATAAATTTAATTTCATCTTTTTGATTCAAACTTTTCAGATTTCATTTTTTTTGTCTATACGTGTAAGTCAATTGCATGTTTTGGAATACAGATCGTAACCAGCTACTATCCTTTATCTTTGTGGGATCAGCTGAATTCATCATATCATATGTAACAACTCCTGTATTACATCCTACTTTACTCCCTAATCCTAGATATATTTCGAAGGATAAGCAGATAGGGTTTTCGTCACAGGCTATTTTACATTGTTCCAGGCTGTCATACTCCGCATTATCACTGTTAAAATCGACGATCGCTTTGTTATCGATTTTCTTATAATTACCGGTCATTGCTTGGCAAACTGAAATTTAAAATGATTTCAAACATATATTATTTATTGACTTCATTGGCAATTTATAGAATAATTATAGCATACAGTTTAAACTTAAATAAGAAAAGTTATTTCAGCTTCTAAAAATAGAATAATATATGCATAACCAAGACAATTTGAATCAATCATTTCTGTTATTTTTCGCATAATTAAAATATCTAAATGAAATAAATTACATGCAAAATCTTTTTTAGAATAACCCAATTCAAGGATATAATTGTTTTATTCCATACAAATTTTACAAATATTCTGGGAAGGTCTTAACCTTTGGCTGCAAAGAATTGTTTCACTTTTTTTGTTCAGGTATTATTTGCAATTGTGTTTATGAAAGAGAAACAATGACAGAATTAAACTACATTAACCATAATGTCCATTTTAGTGCTATGTTTACTTTAATGGTATGCATGTTTTACCTTTTGTACAGTTATTTATTGTGTTGTTATATGCATATAGTTGGTGACAGAAACACATTCCTCCTATACACACACCTTCTGTTTCTATACAGTCTGCATTACTCGAGCAAGCCTTTCCAAGCGTCGGTGCTAAGAAAAAAATAGAACTAAGTTTAAAAATGAATTAGAAATATTACATAGATCAAGTTATGCTATGACTTACATCTCCATGTAAGAAATTCCACAAGCATTTTAATAACTGTTCATTCTTTTTCCATATCTTGTATTCTGAAAAAGTTATAAATATTTCAGCTCTTTTAATGTAAATAATGATACACACTTCATTGCTATAACTTCAAATTCACTTATTCTGTCTGTGGCATATTCTTGCTAACTAGAGGATTGTCATTTTTATAACAGGATTTTGCGACAGATATCATAGATTACAAAAACGCAAATTAATTTTAAATCTTAAACACTTTGTAAACGATGCCGTATATACGGTGAGTAATCAAATCAAATATCAACGTATTTCCATATCGTAGCCGGTAACGTAAATGTGTGCCTAAAATTTATTATCGCGTTTTGTTCTTTATGGCATATAAGATGTCATTACTTCAATAAACAAGAGGGCCATGATGGCCCTAGATCGCTCACCTGACTTATCAAACTCATCCAAACAATTACCTAGACAAGCATTCTGACCAAGTCTCATGACAGGTGAGTCAAAAATGTGACCACTACAGTGTTAACAAGGATTATCCATATTTGAGCAGTGCGACCTCGTTTTTTACCCAGGTGGCACATATTCAAACTTGACCTAGAAATCATCAAAACAAACTTTCAGACCAATGTCCAGGATACTTGGATCAAAACAGTAGCAACTAGAGTGTTAACAAGATTTTTCTATTTTTAGCTCCGGTGACCTAGTTCCACATGCGATTTCGAACTCATCCAAGCAATTACCTAGACAAGCATCCTGACCAAGTTTGATGATAATTGAGTCGAAAATGTGACCACTAGAATGTTAACAAGGTTTTTCCATATTTGGGCGGTGTGACCTAGTTTTTCATCCAAGATAACCCATGTTCGATCTTGACTTAGAAATCATCAAAACAAACTTTCAGACCAATTAACAGAATATTTGGATCACAACAGTAGCCACTAGAGTGTTAACAAGATTTTTCTATTTTTAGCTCCTGTGACCTAGTTTTTCATCCGAGATGTCCCATGTTCGATTTATTCCCAGCAATGACCTAGACAAGTTTCCTGACCAAGTTTGATGACAATTGAGTCAAAATTGTGACCACTAGAGAGTTAACAAGGTTTTTCTATTTTTAGCTCCGGTGACCTAGTTTTTCATCCGAGATGACCTATGTTCGAACTCATTCGAGCTATCACCTGGACAAGCATCTTGATCAAGTTTGATACTGATTGATGCAAAAATGTGACCGCTAGAGTGTTAACAAGGTTTTTCTATTTTTAGCTCCTGTGACCTACTTTTTCATCCGAGATGACCCATGTTCAAACTCATCCGAGCTATCACCTAGACAAACATCTTGACCAAGTCTGATGATGACTGATAGAAAAATGTGACCGCTAGAGTGTTAACAAGGTTTTTCTTATTTTAGCTCCGGTGACCTACTTTTTCATCCGAGATGACCCATGTTCGAACTCATCCAAGCTTTCAACTAGATAAGCATCCTTACCAAGTTTGATGATGATTGATGCAAAAATGTGACCGCTAGAGTGTTAACAAGGTTTTTCTATTTTTAGCTCCTGTGACCTAGTTTTTCATCAGAGATGACCCATGTTCGAACTCATCCAAGCAATTGACTAGACAAGCATTCTGACCAAGTTTGATGATGATTGGTTCAAAAATGTGACCACTAGAGTGTATGGTTTTTCTATTTATAGCTCCTGTGACCTACTTTTTCATCCGAGATAACCCATGTTCAAACTCATCCTAGCTATCCCCTAGACAAACATCCTGACCAAGTTTGATGATGATTGGGTCAAAAATGTGACCTCTAGAGTGTTCACAAGGTTTTTCTATTTTTAACTCTTGTGACCTAGTTTTTCATCCGAGATGAGCCATGTTCGAACTCATCCGAGCTTTCAACTAGATAAGCATCCTGACAAAGTTTGATGATGATTGAGGCAAAAATGCGACCGCTAGAGTGTTCACAAGCAATTGTGGACGGACGACGGACATTCACCGATCCTAAAAGCTCATCCTGAGCAAGCTCAGGTGAGCTAAAAAGTTAAATGTTATACCTGTATGATTTCTTAATATTTGAATGCGTAGCTTGTGTCAAATGAGCCTGTACACGTTTAATAAAACTAGTAATTTTGTATCGAAAGTTGATGAAGATATTAATCTACTTGAAAAAATATATGAGACAACCTGGCACTTATTCATTATCAATTTATATTGAAATTATGTAATAACTATAGATCTTGTATTGACATCAAAAGACGAAAATAACATGCTTTCATCTAACGATTGCGTCTGACAGCATTTACAAAATGTCGGTTTGCTCCTGTTTAAACGAATATTATGCAAGAAAACTTATAGCGCAATTGTCTTTAATATTATGTTGTCATTCCATTTAAATGCATTGTACATTATTTGTTTTTTAGAAACCGAAATTAGATAATTTAGATGCTAGTAAATAATCTTAAACACACCACCTGTTCTTAACGTACTTGTAGATATTTATGAAAATAATCAAATATTGTTCGCTGTTTACACTATACAACATATGTCTTATTATATTTATGGCTCTTTCATAACTTCACAATTTCAAAATGCCAGTTTTACAACTGAAAAAAAAATGTTTATTAAGCAGTGACACATGAATATTTTACGTTATTTACAGCTAGATATAATAAGGGGTATTTAGAATTTCCATGATGGCATTGTCCAATATTTAAATGTTTTTAAAAAAATTCAGAAAGAAAAATGTAAGTTATAAATTAACTTTCACAAATTGTATCAATACTGTGCTTCTTCTTTCACAAATTTATGGAAAGTAATGCTAAAAATTAACAATTTCAAGAAAAATGGTATTTTACAAATCAAAATGACCAAAGCAACTCACAAGTTAGGGTATAAACCTGAATATGTTGCGTTCACATTTTGTCCAACTTTCCTCACATGTTTTACTTGCGTTTTTGTGTGTTTTAAAATCACATTGGGAGGAAAAAATCTTTAAAAAGTTGGCGTTTCATATGAATAAGATCATCTTATTTAACAAAGTGGTTAAGGTTGTTGTTGACTTTGAACCATTTTCTTCTCACTAATGTATGTTCGAATCACGTTAGAGACTTCGGATTAAATTATGTGATGAAGCTATCCAAATTTTATTTAAACAAATTTCCAACTTAAACCACATTTTTTTTATTACTGTAAGGAACACAGTAATCATTATAAATTAATTCAATTAATACCAGAGAGCAGCAAAATCGGCTTGGAAATACAAGATAAAACATTCAATTACGATTGTATATTTCTAAAAAAAGTTCTTTAACGAAAATACATTACTAATATTTTTTCACTAATTAGAATTAAAAAACGAATAATTTGACATTTTAAATGAAACATAAAATGATTAAATTAAACATATTCTGAAGTTTGTCTTTATAACTAAAATTTAATCTCTCAATTATGACACAAAATATGCTAAATGGATTATGTCGTCATAACTGAACTAAGAAAATATGACAGGAATATTTACCTCTCCTTGTGTAATACAAAAACCCGTCGGCAATTTCCAGTTCTGAGTCTTCAGAATATCTGCAGCCGTCGCATCTCCTGTCCTGTGGTTGGTAAAATATGTCAACACAGGACGAAGATCCTTTACAATACAAAGCACATTGAATATCGCTGTAAACCTTGTCAATACTAAAAACACGTTTTGCCACAGGACACGTATAACCGTCAAACACTATATTCCTCCTAAAAACAAAGAATTGTGAAGAGTACAACATGCAAACCGACATAACAAATACGAAAAAGGAGAGAACATTAGCTGCTGTGTTCCTCATGTTGCCTGCGCTTCACGATTCTGCAATTATCTTTTTATAACGAATATCGCGCATGCTCATTACTTTCAAATTGCTTGTTGTAGCAGGTGAAAATCATTAACAGGGAAAAACGCATATGTAACGTGATGAAATATGTTTATTACTGTATGCAGATGATAGCGCATTAAAAATCTCTCAATAAAAATTAATGGGTTTGTCATTTCTTCAAAGGTATACATATTTTCAATAAAATATATATAATTTATATTCTTATTTTGTAGCTGAATGACAAATTGCTGATGAATCCAAATTGCGTTTGGATAAAACGGTTATTGTCTGCGGTCAAAAACGATTTTAATACAAACACTGGCATAGCTTTCTTCTTAGCAGCGGTGGGTCCATCGCAGCGGCGGTGGAGCATTTGTCGCAGAAGAGGTGGATATAAAATGGCCGTTTGATGTTGTCGGTAAGTTTATGACTGAAGTTTACTTTATGTTTTAATGATTTACGGGAAATACATAGAGGGACTGGAGCCCATATAGGTACTCTTCCAATTTATTACACGCACACAATATAATTAATTGCTTTTTATGAAACACTTCTGTGCAGTTTGATAAAGGGACACCACTTTTGCCCAATTTTGGCTAAAAAACGTAAACATGTAAGCAAACGACCCCTAAATACTCGGGCATCACCATTTATCTATAATATTTGCACAAATCCACCATATTTTGGAACTTTTGGAAATTGTTATTGTCTGTTTAAAAAATAAATAACAAAAAAATGATGACAGTGTGGTGGACGCGACAGAATTCATTCAATTTTAAGGGTTTAATTTGACATATAACGTACTTTTCATTTGAGGACAACCTTGTCTTACTTTGACCTCAGAAAAAGTGTTTATTTGGTGTTTAAAACAATATAATTATGTATACAAATACATTTATAGAAATTTGCCCTTGTCACGTAGATAATTGATTACCATTCAAATTGAGCATATTTTATGGCAAAATGTCAAATTATTTTCTTATTTTTACCTGTTTTCTATTGTCACTTGGATTGGCATAATGACACTTAAATGCTTCTTATCTACAAATTGTTATCATTCTTTGTTGAGTGAAATTAAGATAATATTTTATTGGAGTTTTAACAAGTCTATAACTGCATATGTCTATAAAATGTTTTATCTGCTTTATGTGTTGTTATGGACCAGTAACTTTGTCCTTTGCGATGACATGCAATGAAAAATATTGAAATTCAAGAACTTAAAGGAATTGTAGCCCACATGGAGGAGATGATGGAACTTCAAGGAAACGCAATTTCTAAAGACCATCAGCAAATGGAAGAGGTTAATGAAAGATTAATTATCTCACTGAACAAGTATCTGCATTTCAAAAAGGCAAAAGAGGCAATTATATTTATACCCCTTTTATATCAGTAAGAGTAAGAAAAGACCTACAGAAAAATTGATAAGTTTTAATTTACATAGCATATATATAGACTCACTAATTCCACATTTTTTTCCCAGACTTTCTTTGTGATGCTATTTATTTAATAAAAATCTAAATGCATGTTTTTCGTTTCCAATTACTATCACTTAATTACAAATAATAAATTTGTCTTTTTAAACTGAAAGAAGATTTACATGCATGATTTGATGACTTTTATCAAATTTACCATTTCAGGCAAAAGGCAAGCGGAACGGGCAGCCTTTACTGCATATTTGGATCACGGTCAAGCAGTTCACAGTGGAAATGTTCTAAAATTCAACCAGATATTGTATAACGTCGGAAATGCTTACAACGTCCATACGGGCATCTTCACTGTACCAATAACTGGCACATACCTATTTTCGTTTCAAGTTGAAGACTGGAGAACGAAGGAATTGACTTTCTACTTGATGGTTGACGGTCAGAACATGGTAGACGCTATTATTGGCAACACTGGAAGTACCCAGAGTGGTAACACAGCTATTTTAGGTCTAACGGTAGGAAATGCTGTTTGGATTGAATCTGCTGAGGGATATGCGTTTGGCGAAAATAACTTTCGTGGGACAACATTTTGTGGTGCATTTCTGTATTGATTTATTTGAATAGATAAATGTATCACTTCAAATGAGAGTTAATTAAATGTTCACACACGTTTAATTATCTTTGATAGGTGAAAGTTATCCATATCAAAGCAGCTCCATCTGCATTTCGGTAATTTGCTATATAAACTTTATTACCAGAAGTAACAACATAATTAAGGTTTGCGCGAAAAACGCCAAGAATTAGAGAAGATCATTCATGTCCTTCTTAAGTTGACCATTCTACAAATTATGAGTCTGTTCTGCCAATCGGAACAGCCCAACAATATCCGACAACTCCGTAAGAAAGACTGATTGAGCCCCCCCCCCCCCCCGAGGAATGGCATTTGCATTTCTGCTTTTTGAGCAAGTTCAATGCCATAGTCGCAGTAAGTAATATTTGACGGAAACTGATAATCATTGGGATTTTTCGGAGAAATAATTCGCTTAGAATTGTTTCGTTTAGTAATAAGAAAAGCGACATAACTTCTGAGTGTTTATTTAACAAGAAAATTAAATGCTAAAATATATACGGTTAAGACATGATTTGTTGTTTGAAAGTTGTTGAACAGTGAGGATAAAAATAAATAATACAATTCAAAATGCCACAGAGTGTTCACGTTAATGGTGGATAGGTATGTATTATTGAAATGTTACAAATAACGTACATAATGCACGTGAAAATATAGTTGTACATTATCTTGACAGCTGATGGTCCCAGCAACACCATTGCTATTCCTGTGATAATTCCTAAACCCAGAACAATCATCTGTAGATGGCGCCTTATAAATGAACGCTGGCGTTCAAAAAATGGCCACGGTCTGTAAATATATAAATGCATAATAGATAGTGGTGTTTATAGTTTGGCACAATTATTTATGTAGAGGTCCCTAATTAGTTTTAAATGTAGAAATCCCTCCTTTTTTAAAAAGAGAAATCGATGCTATAAGAAACATTATGAAATTTGCACAGAGCTTATACACATTGTGGTAATAAGTGAAAAATGTTTATCAAATCAAAACAAATGAATAAAAGGGACTCCACCGAGATTTTCTTTTTGACATGACGGGACTTGAAATAGTTTTGGCGTTAATGTTCCATTTGATGTAGGTCTAGATTAATAACTTGTTTTATTTCCATAAGAATATTAGTGTGTCTGTGAGAGAAAATATATTAAATACACTTGTGGAATCTTGAAGTGATGAATATCTACATGTATATGAATTTAAATAATTTTATGGAAAAAAAATACATGATACGATAATTTTACAAAGATTTTGTCAATTTCATTTGTCAACTGTTTAATATTATTACTCTAAGACTACTATTCAACTTAATTTATTTAGGTTTCCGGCCCAACGTACAATATAGGTACACGTACAATATAATTTGCATGTATTCACACTGGTCATAGCTTTCGCAGAAGCGGCGGCGGTGAAGTAGTCGTCGTCGCAGAAGCGGTGGATAAAATATGGCCGTTTGCTGTTGTCGGTAAGTATATGACTGAATTTTGTTTTATGTTTTAATGTTTTACTGGAAACACTTAGTGAGACTGGAGCCCACATATGTACTCTTTCAACTTATTACACGCACACGGTGCAATTCATTGCCGTTTATGCAAACACTTCTGTACAGTTTGACGAGGGGACGCCACTTTTGCCTATTTATGGTTAAAACACGTACAAATGTGTGCAAAACGACCCCATAATACAACGGCATCAAATCGTATGAATGAAACTTTCACAAATTAACCATAATTTGGAAATTTGGGAAATTATTATTGCCTGTTTATAAAATAATTGACAGAAAATGATTTCAACGCAGACCGCGGTGGATTCGATTGCAACGCCCGATACCATTTATGTATATTTTGAGGTTTTTACTTGGTATAAGATGTTTTTTCTTGCCAAATATTGAAGTTCAACCAAGGAAAATGATTTTTGAAGTTTGTACTATAATATGTAGATATATATGGAAAACACATGACACACATGGTGCTCAGTTGAGCTAAAAAGCATACAAAGTAATAAGAAAATTCACTATTTACGTAAACAGCATAAAACAGTCTGTGCTATGTGACAAATAATTAGAAGTGTTAACAGAATTTATAGCGATTGTCGAAACATTGCCTGTGAATAGTTGATAAGTTTTCAACGGGGGATCAAATTTTAACGTGTGAGTAAGTATAATAATTTAACAGGCAGGGGTCAGTTTTCAATGTTAAAAAATGTTTAATAATCCGTTGACACGGACTTATGGTCATTTTTCGACGGGTCAGAATTTATTGTTTGTCTCTGTTAAAGGCCTTTAAAGGTCCGGTCATTACAAATTATTAAGCAATCATGGATGTCATTTAGAATGAGCACATTCTACGATTCTATTTGAACAATGACTCAAAGTTTAAATTAAAGATATTTTGCAAAATAACGCACATTAAAACGAGGATATAATACATTGTCAAATAATGTCATAATAGTAATCATAAAATGATATGAATGAAATGACATACTTTTAAAAATGCGCAACATTATTTACGATCAATATCTGATCTGAGAGTCGCTGGCGCCCTTTATGTATTTATAATGATATGCATACCGTATGTATTTAACCCTACCTACATCTTATTACAATGCCAATCTTTATTATGATGTGAAAATACTCTCGTAGAAATGTTGTCTGTTATCAAAACATGTTGTTGTTGTTTTTTAGTTCAGCCGGTGTCAGAAGTAAACCGTCCTTTTGTTAAAAAAATTGTTTTTAAATTTATCACAATTTTAAAATAAGCACAGATGGACAATTTGATTTAATAAATGGCTTTTGGAAGTGATTTAAAACCAGCAGATAAATTGATTTTTAGGGAACAAAAATTTAGCAAACAAATTTAAAAGGTGGGAAAAAAAGTCTCATTAATATCTTGTTAATTGAGTTTATTCATTGGGATAATGTGTACATACGTGTAAATGTACCTGCTAAAACCAAAATGAAAAACTTCTCAATCAGGCCTCAACAGATGGCAGGTAATTATTCTGAAATTGATACCTGATACGAATATAAAACATTCCAGGGTGCTGCTATTAACAGTATGGTGACAAGCCATGTAATTATAATTAAATGCCCAACAGAAACTTTAAATTAGGGAAAATTGGAGAACTTGTGTAAATGCATGAAATAGCTATGCGTAGGGCTAATTCTTCCACCACTGCCTTGTTTATGTTTAACATAAAAACGCGGAAATCTGAAACTGACTTTACAAAATGTGGTACACAAGTGTCCATGGAACCAGTCACGTGACTGTATTGGGTAATATGCTGTAGTAAATACTACAATTTACAACGGTGAAAATGTAGGGTTAATCAACTTGACCGATAAGCCCAAGTATCTCATAACTCTAAGTTGTAATTATACTTTAATAATTTTCATTGCGTTAATTAATACTAAAAATCTAATTCAAACTACCGCTAAGTCTTTAGATATTAAGTGTTAACACAGCTGGAGTCCACTTGAGTCTTGTATTCCCTTTAGATTATGCCGCGGCGCGTAAGTCTCATCGCTTTTATGATGACACCTTTTTTGAGACTTCTCCTTAGATAAAGTTGTCCAGGAAAACACTGAAAGTTGTTGAGGTTGATTCATTTCATGCATTTAGTTCCCTGTCTTATATTCAATTATTAAAGGTCCTAAATAAATTTAATACTAGAATTAGTAATAACTTTACTGGTGATGGTCCAAAGTTAAAATGTCCTTATTTAAATGTAACATTATATATATTGTTGAAATACAAATTTTAGACAAAAATGTTATGTTATTAATGCAGTGAGTAAAGAAAATGATTCATTTTTAAAATAATTTTGACAGTCTCATCTGGCATTCCGTGTATTCCGTGTATTTAATGTACAACAAGTATTCTTTTGTAATTTGTACAATATTAATTAAATCACCTTTGTATGTTTTCAAAGTGAATTCATGCATTGAAACATTTATTTGTCAATAAAACACCATACTTTTGTTGACTTCTAAGAAATTTGGAACAAGATTAAAAGTGTTTAACAAATCAGCCTATTTTACTAGCCCATTTAGAGGGGTAAGTGGTCTATGTCAGCCAACAGCAAGTTTCATACACCAAACTGTTCTTCTGGATCTGTTTCTGGGATGGATATTCATTTGACCCAACCCTGATGCGAAGCTGAGATATCCAAGATGGCGTCAAAGATGGCCGCCAAATCCCTAAATATTCTAGTATATTTATGTTGGCTAATTTATTTTCTCAGTTTTGTAAATCAATTGAAATTTAACATAAAAATTATTTATTTTTAACTCACTCATGCTATAAATTCTGACTTTATTGCATTTTTTATTTGTTTGGGTCGTCAGACCAAACAAATAATGGTAGCAAAATTTCAAAGTCGAATGCTGTTAATTGCAAATGCCGAAAGTAGTACACTTTTTTGAAGCACTTACTTCCCTTTATATATACACTAACGCCGAAAAATTCAGGGGAGATCACTGCGTAAAGATGGTCAAAGACAGGCACATTAATTTTCAAGCAAAATAATTCCCGAATGGTCGAAGATTTCTAATATTGTTTTATTGTATTTTCTGATCGAAAATAAGTAAATACAAAGCGGACATTCAATCTCTGACACAGAAGTTTACGACAAACCTAACAACAAGTAGTTCTCAAAACAGCTTAAAACTAGCGATTTAAAAGAAAGAAATATTTTTATTTTGTTACAAGTATCTAACATATTACAACGCATTCAAAGTTTAAAAATAGCGTTGGCTTATAGAATTGTCAATAAATGCACAATCACAAATTACGCGGATGAATATGAATTTATCAATGAAAATACTATTTTTAGCGATGTCGATTACCGAATACTACACAAACCGAGTAGCGGAATATATAGATTCAACATGTCGGACTGTTTGGGCGAGAAGATTTTCGCTAAATTATTTACTTCAATTTTAAACAACAGGTTTATCCCGAAATAAATAAGGATGCAATGGAAGTTCTAAATTTAGAATGACTTGATGTTATTCAGACATTTTGTATAACTTCTCCGTGGTGCAGGGGTAACGCACTCGCTTCGTGTGTGAGAGGTCTGGAGTTCAAAACCTAGCCGAGAAAACTTTTTTTTTAATTTGTTTTTAAGTGCCTTTGTTAAGGAAGTAGCCATGATATGCAAGGATAAAGTGTAGCTGTCGTAAAAAAATGAACATTAATGATATTTTGATGCAACTCTAGTTATGCAGAATTCCGTATGTATCAAACTCTTGTGCCTCGCAAAATGAATTATAATACATAAAAATAAACTTATACAGGAAAATACATACAGATATCACGGATTTATATTACAAATCCGTGCAGATATACAGTACGATTTAGATTGCAAAGATCAGAAAATACCACAGAACTTGCAGCCCTTTGATTCTTTATAAATATACATGCTTATAGTATAAAAGCTCCAGGATTATTTACATCTGTGTTAAACACCAGTTTACAAGCCCTAATTTAAAATAATATGGTTTTCTTCAGGCCGTTCACATATAAATTCACTGTGGCTGAAGGGTTTTCGCGCTCGCTTAGGAAGCGAGAGGTCTGGAGTTCAATCCCAGTAAAGGCAACTCATCTTTTTCAAATTGTTAAAGTCAAATAAACATTGGATTGAATATCAGTGTTGCAATGAGTCTTATAGCCAATTTACTACAATTAAAACGCTGGAAAGCATTGGTGGCACTATACATATAATCTCACAACCTGTACTTTTCTTACATTCTGAGACCCAAACAAATTCAGCGCCTTCTGTACTTTGATTTCTAG